AGGGAGGTCCCCTCCTGCAGGGGAGGAGCTGGGTACCACTTTCAGGCAGGAATTCACCAAAATGTCAAGATGGAGGTCAGGGGGCCAGTGTCGGGATGGAAGTGCAGTCAGAAGAGCAGGAGAGACGGTGCCAGCTCCTGCCCCGGAGCCGACGGGAAGGCGTTTGGGCAGCAACACGGCTGTAAACTCACTGTGCAAATATTTATGAGCATCCAGTTTGTCCAAGGACTGTCGTGAGCCTAAGGATACAGCAGCAAATGAAACCAAATCCCCTTCCGTGGCATTTACATTTCAAAGGAAGAAGAAAGACAATAAACAGAGACAGAAATATGAAATGTGCAGGTGTGGGTGAACGCGAAGGAGAAAAGGGACGAGGGTGCGTTTTTGTGCAGGTCATCGGGAAGGCCTCTCGGGGCAGGTGGCACATGACCGAGACCTGAATGAGGGCCTCAGGGAGCCGTCCAGCGGAGGGAGCCAGACGTGCAGAAGCCTTGATGGCTGAGCGCGCCTGGTGTGTGTGAGAACGCGCAGGGAGGCCTGTGTGGCTGGAGCAGGAAAGGGCCAGGGGACTTGGCGGGTGAGGTCAGGAGGTGGTGGGGGTCAGATCGTCCAGGGCTCTGGGCGTGGTGAAGAGACCCCGGAGGGCTTGGGAAGCGAGGGAGCTCAGTGTATCTGGAGCCCAGGGCCTTGGGGGGTGAGAGCTGGGGCTGGGGTGGAAGGAACAGGAGGCTCAGAGCCGGTGGCTCTTAACGCACACGTGTCCCAGTTGGAGCCAAATGGCGGACGTCGGGCTGGCCCAGAGAGGAGCCGGATGCTGCCCACACCATCCCGATTTCTCTCTCTGCGTTTCCTCTCCCACCTCTTCTCCCTTATTCAAGGGAGAGGGAAGCGGGGCGAGGCAGGGGCAGGTCCTTTTACTCCTTTGTGTTTTTCTTCTTTCCCATCACTGGGTGGGACAAGACAAGTCTTCACACCACGGCCCTAACTCTGGTGGCTCTGATAAGCCTCACCATCTGCAGCTCCATCTAGATCTTGCCAAACTTCAGTCTGACAAATGATAAGAAACTTGGAGACATACCTCTGGTGGGTGTGAGTTCTGTGCCAGATTTGCTGCTTCCCTGCTTTCCACGCTGGGTCCATCTGGGTTACTTTGGGTTTTAAAAAAGCGCATCGCCTCATGTGCTCCCAGAAGAGGTGAATCAGGGTTTGGCAGCAGACGAGGTACCGAGGGGTTTTTTTTGGCCACGGGCACAAGCGCTCTCTGTGGCTGGGGCCCTGTGCTTTTAGACAAAGTGGTGGAGCTGAGGGTGGACGTGCACGAGCGGTTTCGCTCCAGCTGATGCTCTCCCGGCTCTTCCTTGCTTGGTCTTCCTGGTTTTGAATATTAAGCTCGTTTCAGCCAATGCTCTCTAGTCGGTGGAAGTGGGGGATGTGTATACAGTTCAGCACAGGGCCTTGCAAACATCCAATTCACATTTGTTCAATTATCCTATTATTGTAATCTTTATTACATTGAATAGTAATCATTGTTACATTCAGGATAGGCCCCGAGGAGGTGTGTGTTCGTCAGCATATAACAAGGCTTCCTCAGAGTGTGGCTTTTTTCCAGGCAGGTGAAAAGAAGATGGAGTCATTCCTTCACTGATGCAAGCACATGCTTCCTGAGCATGTGCACTCTGCCAGAGGCTGTTCTGGACCCCAGCGCGAAGCAGTGAACAGAGCCCGCTCTCAGGGAGCACACTTGCCAGAGGGGGAGACAGGCAGTAAAGACGAGCCTTAAATTCGTCGGTGAGAAGTACCCTGCGGAAGATGAGTGCTGCCGGTGGGATCAGGACAGGCCTTTTGGATCAGGTGACATCTGGGCCAAGACCTGCGGGAAGTGAGGGCAGAGCCAGTGGGTGTCTGGGGAAGAAATTTCCAGACCGAAGGAGCAGCAAATGCAAAGGCCTTGAGGCAGGAGGGGCCTGGCTGGCGCTCACGAGAAGCAGAGAGACCGTTTCGTGGCCCGAAGGCAATGAGCCAGCGGGCGGCTGGGGGGATGGAGAGCCGGCAGGAGCCGGTCTGCGGGCCTCTGGCCTTTGACCTGGAGGGGACGAGAGCGACTGGACGGCGTACTCAGCCTTAGCTACACAGAGCCCTGGCTGCTGCTGGAGCCTCGGCTGTGGGGTCGGGTGTGGACACTGGGGGCCCGAGTGGGAAGCCGTCGCACCAGCCCAGCCAAGTAGGGTGTGAGGCGGAGAGACTGGGCTGGGTTCTGGAAACGTTCTGAAGGGAAGGCCGCTGGGCTCTTGGGCTGGCCTGGACGTGGGACGTGAGCGAAGAATCTGGCGGGAAGGCCCGGCCACGGTGGGACGGGGCGAAGCTGGGCGTCTGCTGGCCTCTAGAGCTGGACGTCCTGACTGGGGCTCCGAGAAGCAGCCAGGGCTGGAGACAGACACTGAGAGGCATCAGCTGCTCATTAAGGTTACAGGCCTGGGCCGCCCGGGAGGCAGTGTGCTTAGACAAGCCAGGAGACCCGAGGCCCAAGTCCGCAGGTGCCCAGAGCTCAGAGGCCGGGGGATGAGGAGGGACCGGCAGGGACCAGGCCAAGCCCGAGCCAGAAAGCCGAGGAGAACCCGGGGCAAGAGTGTGGAAGCCGGGGGGAGGCGTACGTCCAGGAAGAAGGGGCGGTGAGCTGGGAGGAGGGCTGCTGCGGAGACAGCAAGATGGGCGCCCAGGAGCCGCCGGGCCTGGCAAGGTCGCCCTGACAAAGTCACAGTTTCTGTGCAGTGGTGTGCACAGAACTGATCGGGTGTGTGGGGAGACAGGCTGGAGACAGGACGCACAGACAGCTTTCGAGGGGGGATTTCTGCAAAAGGGAAGGAGTGGCTGGGGGCAGGGGCGAGGCGGGGCGAGGAGGGAGGGCTCACCTCTCAGATGGTTCGTCATCGTGGACACGAGCTCAGAGCTGGGCACAGCGGGGCACGAGGAGTTCCTGATGGGCGCGAGAGCCGCGGTGGCCCGGTGCAGGACTGGAGGCCGGTGGCCGGGTGGCCGGGTGGCCGGGTGCGGATGGCCTTGCCATCCAGTTGCTTCTGGTTTCTCTGCAAGTGAGGAGGACGGTTATCGGCGGAGAGGAAGGAGGTGGGGTGGGAAGGGAGGCGGAGAGCGGAGAAGGTGGGAAAGGTGCCCGGTGGTGGGTGAGCGGACCGCCCAGGCGAGCATCACCACGCGCGCCTGCTGGCAGGGTTGATGCTCTTGAGTGAGGGGACCCAGGGGAGTGTTCGATGGCCCGTCCTCTCCGGCCGCATCAGGCGCTTGGAAGAGGGGGTGAGTTGCATCTGACCAGGGTTAGGGTCTAGCCAAGACCTGGGAGGCAGGAGGAGGGAGGTGACGGTCAAGCACACAGCCACCGGGTCACTGTAAAAATGGGCCGTGGGGAGGCGTGCGAAGGAGAGGGACCAGCAGGCGGGGTTCCGGAGGGGCGAAGGGTGTTGGGGTTCGGGCTGAAAGATGGGGGGTGTTGGACGTGGGGCTTCGTTTTGGAGAGTGGCAGTTAGTGGTGACGAGGCGTGAGTTTGAGCAGGCAGGTGACCTCTGGACGGGAGGAGGACAGGAGCTGAGTCAGAGGCCAGCTAACGTCCCCGGGGGCCCCGGGGGGCAGAGGCAGGAGGGCCGCAGATGACCCAGCTGGGAGGAGCTGGGGCAGAGGCCAGCTCAGTGGTTCCTCCTGCGTGATCCCTAAGATGGCCACCCTGGGAGGGGGCTGGCAGGAGGCTCCTTCAGGTCAGAGACAGTGTAGGGACCCGTCAGAGGAGGCGTTGAGGAAACTAGGAAAAAGCCTGTTCATCTTAGAGTCTTCCCTAAACTCCTTCCTTAAGGTGCACTAATTTCCTTCCGAGTCTGGGCTGGACTTGGATGTGATCTAGTACAGGATGCAGAGTCAGACCTCCCAGGATCCGGCCATACCAGACGTTCATCACCCTTCCTCCACAACCCCCTACACGCCCAGCTGTACTCAGTGCCTTCGTCTCCTGTCCTGCCCCGGCCCCCTCCTGGCTCAGATGCCACCTCCTGCAGGAAGCCTCCCAGGTGGCTCCGCTGGAAGTGTTGTTCTCTTGTGTGAAGACCCACAGCTCCTCGCTTGTCTGTCTCTGGTGTTTGGCTCTTGTTCCCATGGTTCCTATCTTGGTGAATATTTATTTACATGCCTTATCTGCTCTGCGGGAGGTGCACTTTGGGGGTGGGCTTGAGTTTGAACCCCAGCATCATTATCGTCTAACCAGGTGATGATGGGCAACTCATGTGGCCTCCCCGACCCTCGGTTTTATCTAAAAGTGGGGAAACGGTACGTCCTTCGTGTGGCTCGGGAGAGTGCAGTCACAGGGCTCTGTGCTTGGCACGGGTGGGCCCTGGCGGATGTTTCTCTCCTTTACATAGAAGTGGCTCAGGGCAGGCACACGGCCCCGCGTCTCCACGGGACCTAACCAAATGCCTTTCAGGTCTGTGTGCCCAATAAATATGCATTTGCTGAATTTGGGAAAGATCACTCTAAAACTTTTCTGTAATATCTTTTAAAAATTCAGAGGGGTTGAAATATACACTCATATTTTTCAGCTCTTAGTAAAAATGGTTTGCATATGGCTATGAAAAATAAAAATTGTCCAAATCCAGCTATGCCAGAATTATGGTTTTAAAGTATCAATTAACAAAAAAGATTTTTCATATGGCTCTAAAATGCAATGAATTGTGTATGAGACTTACTGCTTTACATCAGAAAAAGTTCTTTTTTTTTAAACTTACTAAGACCATTTACAGAGAAAATTGCTTTGAAAACATTCAAGAAATGTAAAGTGTCCTTTTTTCCATAGATATGTGTCAATTTGCAATACCTACGACTGTGAGTCTTTGAAAACATTTTATTTTACAAGAAGTATTTAAACACGTTCACTTTTATTATTACCATCTTGATTTTTAACGCTGGATCTTTTGACTTTTCCTAAATCTCTTTTTATACACAGATTTTCAAAAACATTAAAACTGTTATCAAAGCCCTTAAGCTCATTGATGTTAACAGGACGGGTCTGGTCCAACCACATGCGCTGAGGAGGGTTCTGGAGACCTTCTCTTTGAAGATGAAAGATGATGAATACAAAAAGTAAGTAAACGAAGGTATGGTGAGAGATTGCTCAGTAGGACTTACAGCCAATTTCAAAATGGGACCTGTTGGGTTCACTGGATCCAGGCAGCGTCCTTCCCTCCTGCCTTCTCTGTCTTGACTGTTTTTAAAAGAGGTCCTCAATCTGCATTTCTCCCATGTTCGTGAAGCTCTCCACGAATTCTCCAAAGTGAGAGCTAACGGTTCTAATTCCTCCAGTCCCCGCCGGTGAGAGTCATCTGGCCTGCAGCTTTGAACGCATCTCGATGATTTAAGTCATCCATCACCAGTGGTCTCTCTTTGCCTGCCTGGGACCTCGCCCACCACCCCATGGGTTTCCAGTTCACAGCTGACTTTTACTCAAAGCCCGGGGTTAGGAGAAGAATGAAAATTTTCAGGATTTATTCATTGGTTGATGTGCTCCCTGTTGGCTCTCCATCCTGACATAATAACAGAAGCTTAATTTTCCTTTGAGGACTTCGTTGCTGAGTTTGGGGTGGGCATTGCAGCAGGGGGACGTTAGCTGCTTCTCGGCGTTTGAAAGCCGCCACCTGCTCCTGACTCGAGGGCAGTGTGTGGAAGCCTGCACAGACTTTTTTTTGAGCCTCCAGTAAACTCCAGATCGTTCAGAAAAGCCAAATGCTTGGATTCTGTGGCTAACTGAGGATTGAAATGAAG